AAAAAAATCCAACATTTGTTGAATGTTTTTTGTAAAGCTCTGATACCACTGTTTGTATCTTTAAAATACGAGTGGCGTCACTACCACTATTGGGTTACTTTAGAAAAGTACGCAGCCACTATTTCTTTTTCTTAAAACAAGGTCTCTCTCAAAGAGATTTACTTCAAACCTTGGAGAGATAACTATGAACTCAAAGAGCAAAAGGCAAATCACGCACACACTTACATTTCACAAGTGCTACACAGGTGCTATAGGTGCATTATATCCCATTACATTGTGCCTATTTATAGGCCTTTACAACAGTTAAGATAACTTCCCACAAACAGCTACGAGACCAACTTCTTTAGATAATACTCCCCACGACTCATAACTTACTACTAGATAACTACTGACTAAGAATAACTCCCCACCACTCAACTTCTACTAGCTAACTACCCATTGACATAGAGTGAGTAAATCACACAGACCTCAACCCCTACAACTTTGCATTATATTTCCAACATTCCCCGTTGATGCAAAAAAATTTTTTTTTTTTTTTAACTTCTTGTACAAGATTTTCAATGAAATTACGAAGGTCTTCATTTTCCATCTTTAGTATAGAAACTAGTGCTTCAAAACTTTCAATATGCTTTTTTATTTCATAAATTTCTTCTTCCCTGACAATCTTCATCTTCTCTTTTTCATCATCTTTAATTTCAATGACTTCGTTCATTTTTGCCAATTACGATATGGCAAAATAAGTTGCACTGTGTTCGGCTTCTTTTCTTGTGTCCATAGGGAAACCTGAAAATTCTTCTCCTCCCACTTCTATCTCACAGACAAAAATGGGACAATGATTGGGTCCTTTGATAATTTTGTAAATTGGTTTTTCAATTTTTTGCTCTCCCCCAATTTTTTATGCTTCTCATGACAAAACATTCTAGGACTGCGGTTCCTTTTTAAAAGAAAAACACATTTTCTTATGCCTTCTCATGGCATCATCATGCCTTTCCATGGCATGAAACACTACGGCTGCGGTGTCCCTGTTTTTTTTTTCAAAAATCATTTTTCCTATGCCTCATTACGCATGGATTTCCCATCATGCCTTTCATGACACGACATACTAGGACCGCAGTGGCTTTTTTTAAACAAAAAAAAAAATATTTTTCCTCTGCCTGCACAAGGCATGGATTTCCCATGAGGATTGCTCATTCCCACTTTCATAATAATTTTTTTTAAACCTCGTTTTTTGGAAACTTTTGCAAAACACTGACATCAAGAGCTCTACAATTTTCTTTTTCCCCCTTTTTTAAAATCTCCTTCTTTTCCAAGAACATCACATTTAAGAAAAAAAATCTCTCCTTTTTTTTCTTTTGTTTTCATTGCAAAGCACTTAGCCTTTTAATCATTGTTTTTTTGTTTTTTTTATTTTTCAAAATCACTTTTTTTTTATCAAGACCCAACCAAATTAAATCATGATTTAATTTTCCAATGCTCATAAAATTCACCTTTGAAAATTGGAATCGATGGGTGCGAAATATTTGGACTACTAGTATTTGCCATATGGAATAATTCAGGAAATTAAATAAAGATATTTGAATTTCTATCACCTTTCCTCTGAGTTTTGTCTCTGACCTACTAGTCCTAAATCTCTTTCTCCAAGTAATAAATCTCCATACCAATGCCATCTCTTTGGGAACCTGTGCTCCTTTTTTGGCAGCCTATGTACTTTCCAATGCTCATCTTTTTGGGACCCTGTGATGAATGTGCATCTTTTTTTGGGGCAACAGTGCTCTCCAACACTTATTTTTTCGACAACCTAAGCTCTGATACCAAGTTGGATTTTTTTGGAAAGCTTTGATACCACTGTTGGTATCTTAGAATATGTGTCGCTGCTTGTACCACAATTTGGTTACTTTAAAAAGTACGCACTCTTTCTCTCTTTCTTAAAACAAGGTTTCTGTTGGAGAGGTTAACTTCAAAAAACCTGGAGAGATAACGATGAACTCAAAAGGCAAATAATGCACAAACTTTCATTTCACAGGTGCAACAAGTGTATTACATCCCATTACATTGTGCCTATTTATAGACCTTTACAACAATTAAGATAACTTCCCACAAACAGCTACGTGACCAACTTCTCTACAAAACTACACAACCTTATAGGCAAAAGAAGGTGCGTGGGGCTAATTGACAGTTATCAGACCTCCAAACTCTGTGGGACCATAACCTTCAATAATCCAAGAAAAACAGTAACAGAGGGAATGGGGCTCTTGGCATGTCCTTATAAAAGTCAAAGCTGCAATGGAACATCTGAGGTTCGAATCCCTACAAATGCCTACCCAAGAAAACAAAAAGATAACAATGGAGTGTCATTTAATCTTTAGGAATCAAGAGCAGGAACTGACATAATAAAGGTTTCTAAAGAGACCAAAGCCTCAAGTGAAACAGTTAGTTCAAAAACACCATAACAAGAAGTCAGAATCCTAAACATGACCTTGTTAAACATACATAACAAGCAAGCACACAGGATGGCTCCTAATGATCATTTCGTAGCAACACAGCAGAACAATTGGCTAATGCAATCAATACAAATGGTTGAAAGCCTACAACATGAAGATCTTTACATTCTCAAGAGAGTGTTCATCACATTTCATCATGTCACAAGAACTGCTCACAGTAATATTGACTGCATAGCTAAGAGTCACAATCGGTATAAACTGCCTCATTTTGGAGGAGGATCGCTCTACCTTTTCTTTTGTCAACTGTATATGTCTATATTTCTGCACCACTTGTAGTGCAACTTGATGTATAGCCACTTACCCCAAACAGATATTATTAGTTAAAATAAACTAAATAAAAAAAGGAAAAAACTATAAGAATCTGGCATGTTCTAACTGTAGGACCCAATAAATATTGGAATTGCAACTCTACTACCACTTCAATATATTTCTCTTCCAACTGATACTCAAACCCTTTTCTTTCTATATCATTATCCTCTGAAAAGTTTAGAAGAAATTCTCTAAATGCAGCCTCACTAAATTCTAGGAACCCAACATTCCTCAAAAATAAAAAACAGTCGTATTTAGGTTAAATGCTTTTTATTATTTATATTTAATTGTTTTTAGGTTTCATTTATTTCAATCACTGGAGAAAGTTTCAGCCAAGAAACCTAAAGATATGTCTACAAGTTACAATGATACCCTTCAACAGGTAAACAGTTTATATCAAGTAACAAAATATATTGTACGTTGTCCAGTATCTCTATACTTCCAAACTCATTATCAACAACAATAAGATATTGCCAATGTCAGTAAGATTTTCTAAGATGAGAGGTATGCAATATGAAGCACATGCATCCAATAGAATACTCCACACTTACAAATGAGGTTGCTATCTGCAACATTGCAACCAACTGTACTGTCATACACTGAAGTACATTATGAGAACCCACACTTGCAAACTCATAAAAGATTTGGGGTGCAGCATCCATGAACTGTAGCATTCCCGCATTTGTTACACATGAGTGGAAGCTGCAATTTGGAACCCGCTCTTCCAGTGGGCCTGAAAACAACGTCAAGGGACATTGTTTTTAGGAACCCTCCTCTTCCATGGTAACTCCATGGAAGGAGTGGCTTCCATCCTTTGTGGAAAAGCGGGCTGCAAACAGTCCCCTCTTCCACAAAACAAATGCCCCCTTGGAGAACAGCATGAGAACCTTTAACAATTCTAAACATATCTAATGACTAAACATATATAAGTCCATCAGAGCAATAAATAGGGAAATTTGTGTGAGTGTATGATTCTTCACAGCTATCCATCTATCAGCTAGTATCTAAGTGTCTCCAAACCCTCATACAAGTATCTAAATTCTCATTTATCTCAGATACATTTACTGGAAAAAGTTCACCTAGAAATCTTATAATCCAAACTGATAGTGCTAGTATGCGAGCCATTACAAGTGGAACCTCACAAGGCGTAGCCTTGCAAGCTGCAGTTACTCATCCATTTAATCATGAGTATCCCATATGGTGCTCCCAATGTTTGATTCTGCCCTTGATGTTGTGTGATGCGCAAAGTAAACCCACACTAATTTTCCCTCCTACTAGCCTCCAACAAGTCATGAATCCAAACCTTTCCAGTTCCTTATCATTTCTGAATAGCAGATTCTATACTAGATGTATATCTTTGATGATTCCGTCCTGTAAAGGTTCTCTATTCTCAACCCAATCTCAGGAACAATATTCACACCTATCTTTTTCAAATAAGGAAAAAGATTATATAAGGTGTCTACCTTATACTGTAGAAGTAAGGTGCACCTCAAAAACCCAACAAAACATATTGTCCTGACACTGCACAAACCCACCGATTGATCATCTTGACCTTGATATGTACAGGTTTTTATTTTTCATTTTGTGAAAAGATAATTGATCTCAAGTCTTGAAACTTGAGCATCATGCAGCACTCTCTAGACCGTCCATTTTCAAGATTTCAAGTGTTTATAGATCTACTCGATCTAAACCATTTTTAGTTCTTTAAATTTCACAACTAGGGACATAAACAATTTTTTAGGCCATCAAAAAGTTTTCCGACACCAAAACTACATCTTTTAGCATAATTTAGAGGTGTGCCTTATTTGGGTTGTTTAAGGTTGACGCCTTATACAAACCACACCCTTCAAATAATATTCACATTATAATGAACTCTTTCCACAATAGTCCTTATCTTGACACTTTATAAGGAAAATCAAGTTGCTTACCTAATGTATGTACAGCTACAATCACAACATATAATAGAATAAAAGAACAATAAATCAGAATGCATATAATACAACTCCAAGGGAAATTTTCAGAACAAGATGCCGAACAGACAATTTACTAATGGGCATAAAGGTAGAGAACAAACATCATAAAAAAATATCACACACCTTTTCCTGATTCAAAACAGAATACAAACAAATAACAATTTTTACAAGAAAATAAAGACAATGAGAATCACAAATAACAGTAGCAATGACCCACCTCTAAAGCAAACTGATGCTGTGCCACGTCAACTTTGTTAAAAGCTAATACCATAGGTAATCTTGTCTTGTAGAGAATACTACAAGCATATAACATGTTGCTCATAAAAGTCACTGGACTTGCTGAACGAGGAGTATCAACCACATATGCAACCACAGTGGGAAATGTAGAAGCAAAAGCCTCTGTAATTATTTGTCCTGAAGCTGACCATGTAAATATTTCAATTTGTCCTGGAGTGTCCACAAGGACATAATCAAGTTCATTCGCACGTCTTTCAATTGTTGTAATAACCTGAAAAAAAAAAGTAGAATCAACTATGCTAGAATAAAGCACAGGGCATGAGGAAAAGTTTTTCCAAGTAAAACACACCTCACCAAGAATGGTAGAAAATAAATGTAATGAAGGACAAAAGTTTTTACAAGTAAAACACACCTCCCCGAACATGGTAGAAAATAAATTCAGTGAAGTAAGTATCCCTCCATTGGGACCAAGATTGTACTCTTTCATCACTTCTTTGTATTTCACACTGTCTCTAATGTCAATATTTGCACCAAAGGGGAGAGATAACACAGCTGGATCAAGATTCAAAACATATCCACGAATGTTTGAAGTTTTTGTGTGGTGCACCAAGCGATGAAGGAGAGTTGTCTTCCCACTCCCTGCAAAAACCAAACATTAGGTCTAAGATCAACATCTAGGTTTTATAGATAGCATCCTAGATTGGTAGTTTCCTTTTAATGTATTATGAAGCCTAGAATAAATGGCTCTAATACAAACAGCACAAATTTGAAATGGATATATGATATAACATGCTGAGACGTGCCTGCCATCCCCACAACAATTATAACAACTGGTTTTCTCTTGAAATTAGACGACAAATTTCCTGCTCCGGAATTTTGAGTTTCCTCGATAAGTAATTTCCCCATTGACTCTGAGATTTCTTCTTTCTCCAAGGATTTTCCCTTCAAAACAGTAAAATGAAATTTTATAATTGTTTGCTCATAGGAAATCACTTATGATCAGAAGAACTCTGCAATTAAAAACAACAATCATATGGTTTTACCCCCTCATCCTTGCTAGTGTTTGCCTTCGAATTACTGCTGCTAGGTTCAGTATCCATTTAGTACACACAGGTCTCCACAAAACCTTCTGGAATTCCTGCAATTACTCCATTTAAAACCATGATCAGAGGACGCAATTGCCATCTAGACAGAAAGGGAGAACCGGTTGCTTAATATATAAAAGGGATTCACAATTTCACATGAAATTGTAACAACTGTGTTTCAATATTTTACAGGGAACATATATAAAAATGAACATTTGTTGTGGAAAACCTGTAACACGGAAGATTGAAGAAGATACAAGGACACATCTCAATCCTTCACTACATCTTTAATTTAATATGTAAAATTTCATACTCAGCTATATTTTTTTTCATAAGGAAAATGGTTTGATAGGGCTGCAGCCCTATCAAGATAAGTAAAACCTCACCTCATAACTCATCAAAAATTGCAATTCAAGTGTTAAAAAACCTTTAAATCAATAATATCAACTTGAACATTATGGTTGTACAAAAAAATTAGGATTTCAAATTCTAAAAATATTATATATTACAACAAATCATCTAGACCATCTATTCTTTCCTAACTATAAGTGCTCAAAGATCCACAAAGATCTGTAGCATTTTTTTAGTTTCAAATTTTATTGTCAGTGTTAGAAATCAATTTTAGAGCCATCATGAAGATTTCCAATGACAAAAGTGCTTTCCAGATGAGGATTTGAGATGAGGGTTTATTTTGTTTCCATAAAGTCTAGGCTCTATAGACACCTCATCCTTTTCATAACTGTGTATGTTGAATTTGGCAAAAAATAAAAAATAAATAAATGATAAAAAAAGCACTCACATAATTGGGAAAGATGGATATGTTTTTACAAATACATGACTGTGAGCACATGCATGACAAAACAAATAAACTAAGAGTGGCATTTTTCAAATTTGATATTAAGATGAAATTAATGTAAAGATGGAAAGGTCCATGGAATCAAACAAGTGCATGTGTGTGTGCACGCTTGAGAGAGAGCGAGAGAGAGAAAGAGAGAAAGAGTTAAAAAAATTAGAGACTACAGAAACTATTACAAATATATATATCCACGCCAGAAACCACAAATTTAATTGAAAACAAATTAAAATGAACAATAAAAAGATTATCCTGAACAAAGTTGGAAAATTTTAACGACTAAAACCAAAATTAAGAGAAAAAAAATCTGGAGCTGTAAACAAGGATCTAAATAACAAAATGAGAAACCAAATCCACAAAATTAGAAAAGAAAAAAGGTAAAGAAGAAGCACAAATGAATCCCATAAAAAAAAGGAGTAAAACAATAAATACATCTCCACCTTCTTCCTTCAAAAGGCCACAAAAAAAGTCAAAAGCACGTGAACGCTAAGAAAAAAAAAGAAGAGAGAGAGAGAGAGAAAGTAAAGTCCATCTCATGTCATGTTTCAGATATTGTAAACCCTAAACTTATTTATTTTTATGCTCCATATCCAAATTCATAAACCTAGAATATTTGTTCTCTAGAATCTCTTGCCTGAAACTTGAAATGCACAGCCCCACAATTTAAGTAAAGCAAACTCTAAGCTCCTCACATAATTAATCATTGATGCAATTAGGGGTTTTATTTTCATTTTCTTATTTTTTCGGAATTAGGAATATAAAAATGATAAACAAATAGTAAGTAAAGTGAAACTTAAGGCATATGATAATCTATACATTAAACTGGGAACAAGAGAATGTGAAAAAGATATCTTCAAATTAGCAAAAATAAGCGAGAAAAAATGTAGGGATCTAAATCATATTAAATGCATTAAGAATGAGGAACAAATGGTGTGAAAGATGACAAGGTCAACGTCAGGTGGAGAGCCTATTTTCAAAAATTATTAAATGATGAACACAATGGGAACATAGTGGTTGCAGGGACTGTTGGTAAAAGTGATGGCGGAGGTCATACATACATTCATAGGATTAGGATGTCGAAAATGAAAGAACCTTTGAAAAAGATGAAGATAGGAAAGGCTCTAGGACCAGATTATATCCCGATAGAGGTTTGGAAGTGCATGGGGGAAAATTGGCATTGCCTGGCCAACAAAGTTGATCAACAAGGTGTTGAGAACAAGAAAATGCCAAACGAATGGAAGAAAAGTATTGTGGTACCTATTTAAAAGAACAACTGAGACATAAAGAATTGTGCAAACTATCGAGGGATCAAGCTTACGAGTCATACAATGAAGCTCTGGGAGAGAGTCATTGAGCAACGATTTAAGGCATAAAACGAGTGTATCTGAAAGCCAATTTGGTTTTATGCTAGGAAGGTCAACAAATGGGGCTATTTTCCTACTTAGGCACCTGATTGAGAAGTTTAGGGTGAAGGGAAAAAACCTTCCACATGGTCTTTATTGATTTAGAAAAAGCTTATGATAGAGTACCCCAAGATTTGATTTGAAAGGTGTTGGAAAAGAAAGGCGTCTCTAAACACTACATCGACTGGTGAGAGATATGTACAATGGAGCGCCAACTAGTGGAGAGAAGAGTGAGTTTTCAGTAACAATAGATCTATATCAAGAATCAGCATTGAGCCTGTACCTCTTTGTCTTAGTTATAGAAGACTTAACTAGGCACCTACAGGATGAGGTACCATGGTACATGTTGTTCGCAAATAACATAGTTTTGATTGATGAGACTCGAAACGACGTCAACACAAAGTTAGAACTTTGGAGGGATGCTCTAGAATCTAAAGGTTTTAAAATTAGTTGGATTAATATAGAGTGTATGCAGTGCAAGTTTAGTAATAATAGGAGTAGAGACGAGGAAGCAGTCAAGATTGAAGGCTACAAAAAAGGCCACATTTTCAATATCTTAAGTCGATAATCTAAGAAAATGAAGAGATCGAGGAAGATGTCACACACAATTAAAGCTGGGTGAGCAAAGTGGAGATGTGCAACTGGAATTTTATGCCATAGCCGAGATTGAAGGGCAAGTTCTATAGGACAGCGGTGAGACAGCTTTGCTCTATGGAGCGGAATGTTGGAAGGACAAAAAACAATATACCCATAGAATGAGTATAGCAGAGATGAGGATGTTGAGATGGATGAGTGACAAGACAAGAAGGGATAGAATTCGAAATGAATTTATTTAAGAGAATTTAGGTGTGGCACCAATAGACGATAAAATGAGAGAAAGTAGACTTAGGGGCTAGCCATGTGTGGTGCCGATCAAGTACAACACTTGTTAGGAGGTGCGAGTTAGTTCAAGTAGAAGGACTGAAAAGGGCACGGGGTAGGCCCAAAAGGGCGTGGATGGAATTAGTTCGAAAAGATATGAAGACTTATGGCCTCACTAAGGATATGACTATTAATAGACCAGAATGAAGAACCAGGATTCATGTAGCCGACCCTAATTAATTGGGAAAAAGCTAAAATGATGATGATGATTTTTATTTTATTATTTTTGGGAGATTGAAATTTAGGATTTGGGTTTCATGTTGTTCTCTTTAAAGAGAATTGAAGGGAAGAATTGGAAGTTTAATTTTTAAAAGATAATGGGCTAGGATTTAGTGATCATGGTTCCTTGGGGACCAAGTTAGGTTTTAATGGTTTTCTTTTATAAATATGTGATCATTTGACAAGAGAATACAAGAAGAGAAGAAGAATTTGGGTTTTGTGAGAATATCTCTTTAAGGTGGACTCCCTTGCAAATCTTGAAAGGGGGTTACTATTGTAAAGTACTTATCCATCAAAATCATAATCTTTCATCCTTTTTCTTTTTTATTCTTTTGATTTATTTATGACATTTCCCCTCTTCCCTACATCAATCATTCATTGTAAACGGTTTAAAGTGTGTGAGTGAGAGGGGTTCGACAGAGCAGGGTAGTTCGAGGGAGGGAGGGAGGGAGGCAAAGGGTTTTGTGAGGTGTAGAGGTTTTAGGCTGTGTTTAATAACTTTATTTGCAATTTCCCCCAAAAAATCCGAGCTGCTGGTTTCTTGGAAGAAAGTGAAACTAGAGAGTTTCTCTTGTTTGATAATTGTGAATGCAAGAAACTTCCCATTCAAACCACTCGTTGAGTATTTCATTGATCAAAGGCTTAAAACCATATTTTGAATTGCGATTTATTTGATACAATCCATTCATGCATCACTTACAAAATATACGATTCAGATCATGAACAATTGTTAGCCCCATATAAGCTACAGTGCAAATACACTAATGATTTCAAATGTCAAACACACCAGCATAGCAAATAAAATAAGTGTATAACCCATTCAAAATGCTTCAACATATCTAGAATTTAATGCTCCTAATTGTGTACTTTCTACCTGCAAATATTGTTACAATCCAAAAATTGCATAGGGTTCCAATAATATGTATTTCTCCTTAGTGTGAATTGAAGTCTTAATCTACTTTGCTACTTGAGATTTTCAACCATGGTTGACTATTCTTAAGTGGTCTTTTAAGTGTTCGATTCCTTTCATAATTAATGAATATAGGAGGATACTGTAATTTTGTCAATCATTTAACTTATGGTATGGATCTCAATTGTCTCCAGGGATGAGTATAGTTCAGCTAAATGCTTTACCCAATATTTGTTTCCATGTAAAAATTTCAAATTATTGCATTAGTTTCTCTTTTTTGTTTTGGAGTTCCATAATGTCATCAAGGTACAGTTTGATAGTGTAATAGATCTCTTCCTGGCAAAGTATGCTCATTATTTTGGGTGCTCTTATTTCTTAAAAAATTCATTTCACAATGATGCTATGACATTTAATATTTAGGGCTCGTTTGGTTCATGCTTAACAGTTTGCATATGTAAATGTAAAACAGTTTTCATATGTAAACAGTTCCCTGAGCGAGAGTTTCCCAGTCTTGTTTTTTCCCATGTTTGGTTCACATGTTTGGAATTCATGTGTACCCAGTTTCTTATGTTTGGTAACCCATGGGCAAACTATCTCCTATAATCTGGAGTAATAACTATTTTTAACCACTCAATTACAATATATTTGATTTGATATCGACGTCCATCGCATTAAGATTATTTTTTTAAAAACATTCAATCTATATTATGTTTAAAAAAATTATACAAGCATCAAACCTTGGTTAACTAATCGAACAACGTTATTTTGACTGGTTTTTGCTTTATATAGCAGCCTAGATAGCTTCTTGTTTCCTTTCTTTTATGTTCTTTAGGGCAATGGACATTTTGGTGAGCCAAGATAAATGGAGCTGTTAGATGAGGCGGTTGGGTGATGTGGTGGAAGAGGAGGTTTATGTGATTGCAGAGGTGGTGAAGGTGTGCTTGTTGAAAGAGGCAGTGCCAAGACCGTTCCTGAGGGAAATGTCTGAAATGTTTAGGAATGGTTGGAAATTACCATGGACATGGCTGCACCCATGAGCAGCCCCATGAGGCTATGAGGCATCTTTGCCAGATTGTGCAGCCTCGTAAGGCCATGAGGCATCTTTGCCATATTGTAAAAAGCATGTAAACAAAATTTTGGGTATGATATTTATCTTTGGGATTGAGGAGACAAAAAAAATACTCAGGAAGCATTGATACACCATACCCACATTTCAAAAAGGAAGAAATAAATAAAAAAAACAACAAATTTCTACAGAGCAAATTGTGCTTGTATGCACATAACCAGTAACCAAACCACTAACAAAACTAGCAAGAAAAAAAAAAAAAAAACCAAATTTCTACAGATAAAATTGTGCTTGTATAAGCAACCCATACAACAAAACCAGTAAGAAATTAAGAAAAAAAAAAAAAGAAAAAAAAAAAAACCATCTCACATTTTTCTACAGAGAAAATTGTGATTCTATACTCAATAAAATAAGCCAAAAAAAAAAACAACAAATTTCCATGGAGAAATCATAGTAAAAATAATGTTTGCAATTTTAATTAAAAATAGATATATACCATTTAGAAAGAAAAACCAGGAAAGTCACAAGAATAAAATGCATACCCATGTATGAGGGAAACCCTACCTCGTTTGGTGAAGAATCTTTACACTATGATGAAAAAAAACCAGCAAAACAAATAAAAGAACACCAGCCAAAAAAAATACAACCACCTTACCTTGTTGAAGAAAATGAAAGCTTGCAAATGGATCCTCACTTGCAGAAGATGAGGTATCTTTCATGAGGCCCACCAATGGATCCTCGCTTGTGGGTCTGTGAGAGAGGAAGCAGAGGGTTGAGAGAGAGTGGCAATGGAGGCTTTGTGAGAGAGAAGGCAGGGCTTTGAGAGAGGAGCAGGGCTTTGTCAGAGAGAAGGTAAAGCTTGGAGAGAGGGGCAAGGTTTTGTGACGTGCAGAGTGTTGTGAGATAGGGGTAAGGGTTTGACAAAGTGGGCTGTGAGAGAGGGGCGAGGATTTTTGTGAGAAGAAAGCTTTGAGAGAGGGACGAGTGTGAGAGAGGGTTTTTGATGATTTATGTTGTGAACTCGGCAGCTAAAGGTTTTGTTTACCTGAAACGAGCAATAGGTTTGGGTAGAGAAGTGACCCTGTTTTTTTTTTGTTTTTTTTCTTTTGGGGGGAAGGGGGGGAGAGAGAGAGACATGATAGTTTTCGGTAGAGGGAACTCCAATGCTTTGGCCAAGGTTGATGGTGAAACAACTATGGCGTATATGGAGAAAACTTAAGCATTAAAGGTTGTTGCAGTTTTTAAAGGCTTAGAAATCGTCATTGGCAAAGTGGAAGTACCATAAATAAATGTGGTAATTTTGATAAATGTGGTCTTTTTTATGCTAGGTGTCTTTATGGATGACCTTTGGTTTTCTTGCACGAGGAATGCTACAACAAGCATGGTGGATGTGATTAATCTACAGCTCTCCATTTTAGAACTGTCTAGGAAAATGATGATGTACCCACACAGTTTTTGATGATTTATGTTGTGCATCTACTCCTATTTTCCGGTATCTTATGAGGATCCAACATCTTCCTGTAATTACAAGTAGTTCTGGCTATGTAAGTTAAAACTTTCAGTCATTTACTAAATTTAAAATAAACTTTCATAAAAACTTGAAAGGCGAAGCCCGATCAAACAGAGAAAAAAAACAAAATAATTAGATTAAAAGAAAAACTGATCTTTCGTTTGGTTTGGATGGTTATTTCAAGCAATGTTCGAAATAGATGATCTTCATATGGATTTAGATGATAATACGACTGTTAAGCAATATTTAACGACAAACCAAACCTGCGCAAATTCAAAATCAAATCAAGAAACAAATCCCTATTATGGCCGTAACAAAATAATTTGAGTTTTTTTTTTTTTTGGTTTCCTTATTTCCAGATGAAGTTGAGAGAGAGAGAGAGGAAAAGAAAAACGGTGAAGTCGATTTACAGAGAAAATCTGTAAATAAACTTTACAGAGTAAGAGGATATCCCTTTAAACCCTGCTAAGAGGATGAAAAAAGAGCAAAAGCCATAAACCATACTTAGGAGGAAAGATAAACAAGAAGGACCTTGAATCCTAATTACGAATAAAATGTAAAATTCACCATTTGAGCAACTATAAACCCTAAGTCCCCTATATCCACAAAATAAGACCCATATTTGAACAAACCCTATTTGAACAACCATAAAACCCTAAATCCCAAAAAAAAATCCATTTAAGGAACCACATCTCTGCACAGACCTCATTTACGCTACCACAAACCTAAACCACCCACCCAAAAAAGAAATGGTACCAAATCCAACAGAGTAACATACCCGGTTGCAATCGACCCGGTGGGACTTGAAACGGTGAAAAATGAGCTCTAGCTTCAGAGTAGAGCCTTAACTTGAGAGAGAGTGGAACCGTTGCTATGGAGCGGTGAATTGAGCGGTAGTGAAACCGTTGCTTGAGAAAGAGCTCTCCGGGTGGTGACGGAGAGAGAGTGTGGTGAGAAAACAGTTCTCGGGTGTCAACCAAGTATGGTGCCCCTCACAAATTCTCTAGAACATGTCATCCTAATTTTAATATATATAGACATAAAAAAATAAAAAAAACTCTAAATTGTTAAAATATTAATCTTGCAATAAGTTATTTGAATTGTCCACTATTTAGCTTTTTTAAGTCTTTATAGATCAACTAGATTTATATTACTTTTGAAATTTTAAATTTTATAATTTGAGATAAAAATATGCTTTTAAACCATCATAAAGTTTATGGCACTAAAAGTAAACAAATGGTATTTGAAAATAAATAAGACAAACAAATGGTATTTGAAAATAAATAATACAATAAATATTAAAAGTTAAAAGGAGAAAGCAGGTCTTGAAGCTCTCTAATATTCTTAGTAGGAAACCCGGCAAGAGCATACCAAATCAAAGTACACATGATACATAATGCAAATCCCTAAATAGATAATATTTGGTGAATTGGAGTAGCTTGGTTTGGTTTAATAGATATAATTGTGTACTGATCACAGAGTTTTTGGGATCTATGTTATACATGAATAAATAATAAAATACTATAGTTGTGATAAGTGTTTATTAGGATGGGACCTACTATCAAACTAATCAAGTGTCTAGTACAGTCAAAAGTAGTTTGACCATCGATCGAATCAGTTTGACATATGTTCAATTTTTATTTTATTTTTATGTAGAAATAATAGTTTAAAAACATAAAATTATCATCATCATCGTTCAAACCTCATCTCAATTATTTAGAGTCAGCTACACAAATCTTATTTCGCTATTCCGCTCTATTAAATGTTATACCCTCAGTTAGACCATAAGTCATCATACTCTTTCTCACTACTTCTATCGATATTCATAGGGGATGTCTTCTTTCCCTTTTAGACCCTTCCATTTGAATCAAACCATCCTTTATAAACAGTGTTATTCTGGGTCGACACTGCACATTGCCAGCCTGCTTAAATTATACTCTCTTATCGTATTGCTTGTTGGAGCTATCCTAAGTTTCATTAGATGTATTTATTTCAAACTCTATTGTTTTGTCACTCATTCATCTCAACAACCATCTCGACATCCTTTTAAAAACATAAAATATATGACAAAAAATGCTCAGTTTTTTTTAACCGGTTTAAGTCGTCAAAACTAGCTAGTTTGACTATTCTATTGGTTTTTTTTTTAAATTGTTAAATATAGTTTTTATTTTTGACCGAACTTACCAAAGCATTGGTTGATAGTTCAACTAGTCGGATAGGTTGGTCTAATATGGTCTTAATCACTACAGTTAATACTGTCCAACAATGAAGTTTTGTTATATATGGGAAAAAGAGTTCCTCTAATGTGTAGTTGTGGTTTAATATAGGATATCATGCTTTGGATATATTGTTTAAATGGGTAAACTTCCAGCTAGAAACTCTGCAGACATATAAGATTTTTGGACTGCATAAGGGTATCTTAGGCATACAATTATATGAAACGAGCAGGTATCATGGACGTAGAAGATCCATGTATTAAATCGCGCTAATAAAATTTAAAGGATAAAGTTTATATAGAGCCGAGGCCATAAACAATCAAGGATAAAGTTTATATAGAGCCGAAGCTATAAACAATCAAATTAGAGCTTACTTAAAAAATTTTGCTAGAAGAGGTTACTTTGATGCTCAAATATCCTCAAATTGATCATCTCGACATCAAAATGCATGGACATGATAAAATAAATAGATTTCAAGTTTTGGAAATAGTGCATCTTGTAACGCAATTTTGGACCGTCAATTTTCAAGTTTTCATAGATCTGTTAGATCTTCTTTATTTTTTAAACTTTAAATTTTATAATTAAAAATAAAAATATATTTTAAGACTATCACAAAAATTTTCAATATTAAAACTATATTTCTCGATTCTATTTGAAGGTATGCTTTACTTTGATTGTTTGGAACCTCAACTCTATACAAACCACACCCAAATTTAAATTCATAGAGGCACATCATCCTAAAAGCTTAGTTTTTTGTACCAATTAAAATGATTGGCATTGAAACCGATAGATTCATCATTATCTCCAACATGTTGAAAAATTTTATTTCAAAAGAGGTTGTTTGGATTTTTGGAAAAATATTACTAAGAAATGGTTGCTCAGGAAGACTGCACATTTTAAAAGGTTGGATCCAAAATCTATGGAGGAATTTTTTTTCCACAAACATTTATTTTCTCCGTTTTGAGACCAAAATACAGAAGTTGTTTTCTCTATACAAGCTAAAAAATTAATTTCCTTGTTACCCAAGAAAAAAAGTAGTATTACCGATCGGGCCCCAACAAAAGAAGTAATTCTCTGCCAATCTCTCTCTTCTTGGTAAGCCAACTCTCTCTCTCTCCAAACCAACTCCCTCTCTTCCTAACCCAAATCTCTCTCTCTCCCTCCCCCAACCTAAATTTCTATCCTCTCTCTCTCATTCTAAAAATCTTTATATATTTGTTTTTTATAGCTTTCTACCTCCCTATCCATAAAAATCTCTTATACTTCCATCTTTCTCTTACCGTTTCCTTTTGTTCTTATCTCTACAATGTTATTATCTCCAGATATTCCTTGCACTCGACCCAATTTTTTAAGTACAAATGTGTTTGGAAAGCCGCATTCAGATGCCATCCAAACAACAAAAATATATTTCACATGATATATTTTGCATAATAAACGTATTTCACAAAAAATAGTTATTCCCATATAATCTTTTTTCAGGAATCCAAATGGGTAAGACAATAAAATCTAAAAATGTCCCTTTCCTAAAACTCCCTATTTTTTTTATTTCATATAATCATAAAAGTAATTATCCATTGAAAGGTCTTATATAGTTTAAGATCATTTACCTTCAGGAAAATGTTTTCACAATCACTCATGGCTGTTAGATGTAAAATCTACCATTTTAGACTATATTTAAAAAGTTTATTTATTATTTTTTTTAACTTTGAGTCTAGTCAACAGGACACTCATAGCCATCTGATTTCATATGTAATAAACGATATTGATTGTGAGCTCCTTATGCCAAAAATCATCATTATTATCATCATATCTTTTTTTCAACTCTTTGAGATCGACTATATGAATCCTGATATGTCATTCTGCTTTGACAAGGGTCATATTTTCAGTGAATCCATACCCATACCCATATTTTTTTAACTATTTCTATCCATGTCCTTTTGAGCATATTTTTTACTTTATTTGAGCCTTCGACTTCTCTACCTCTTGACATGTGTTGTACTGGGTCTACTCTGCACGTAGCTAACCTATTCAAGTTCACTTTTTCTCATATTATCTTCTATGGGAGCCACACCTAAGTTATCCTAAATGTATTAATTTTAAAAACTATAATTGTTTGTCTTGCCACTTATCCATTTCAATATCCTCATCTCAACTTTACTCATCCTATTGGTATGTTGTTTATTGACCGTCCAACATTCTGCCCTATAAAAAAGCAAAACCGGTCTCATAGTTGGCATATAAAGCTTTCCATTCAACTTTATTGGTATGTGATGATCACATAAAATTCCGGTTGCATATCTTCACTTCGCTCACCTAGCTCTAACTTTGTGTTGACGCAAACCTTGGGCCCATTGATCAAATCTATGTGGCATGGAAATAACATACACCACGATACCTCATTTCATGTGCCTAGTTAAATCGTTCATAACTAAAACAAAGACGAATAGGTTCAACGTTGAACCTTGATGTAGACTTACTATCACTGAACACTCACCAATCTCTCTTGTAGTTGTTCGCACACTAGTTAGTGCTGTCTTGGTACATATCTCCACCTCCTTGACATAAAACCAAATTGATTTTTTGATACACACGTTTTATGCCTTAATCATTGCTCAAACACTCTCGTACAACATCATAGTGTGGCTTATAAGTTTGAGTTCTTGATAACTCGCACAATTTATTTAGTATGTCTCATTTGCTATTAAACTTTTTCTAACTTCAAATTTTTTATATATTACATTTTAACATATTCTACTCACATGGACAAACATATATATATATATATATGTATATATATAAAACTCACTATACGCACATATGCACGTGTGGCATGCACTTCTATTCACCTATAAACTTTTTTCCGCCAACCGTCCCAAAGCAGATCAATGCCCTGCATACACAGGACATGTATGTTACTTTCTCCTCTTTTTATTTATTTATTTTTAAGTTAATGGCGGGGCATCTGATAGTGGTGGTCATTTTGCTATTCTTTTCAGGGCATTTTAGTCAACCTTTCTAAGAGGAGAAAGACCTATCACATTTTCACTGCACATAAACCGGAGGGGCAACCATTGGAGAATCAGTGTACATTCCCTCTCCACTGAAGAGCAAAACCAATGAGGATACTGGCTCCAATATCTATCTAATTCTGATAACCCTAGAGATGTAAGTTAAGTTATTTTCAAGTTTCATGACCTTTTTCGATTGCTATTTGATTTTCCGTGCTTGAGTGAATGTTGTTTCTCTTTCTACATATCTGGAAACCCTAAAATGTAAGTATCAGTTCGTCACTGGTTCAGATTGGATGCTTCGTCTTTGTGCTTCTGATTAGGGTTTTGGTTGAAGTTTTTATCTGACTCGTGCTTCTAGGGTTTGCGTCGTCTGATTGGGATTTGGTTTTTGTTTGCTAGGGCTTTTGATTGTTTCTCTTGCTAGGACGTAGTGGTTGACGTTAAATTATTCTTTAAGGCTGATACTTTTAACTGGAGATGCTGTCTTTTTTGCTAAACCCTGTTTCTGATTGAGGCATGGCTAAACTTCTTATAGACGTTTTATTGGTTGGTATCCATGCCTTAGAAACGACCATATCTGTAATATTGATGCATAGCTTCATAGGTTTGTCCTTATTAGTTATTTCGTGGTTCACATTGTTGTTTTAGTTGCTTAGCATATTATACCCTGATGATCTAGTATGGTGCTTGTAATTTGTTTTCCTGTGACTTTAATTGCCTGCAAATTAAAAAGATTTGTTAATATGTGGGCTGGTGACTAACATGAAATAGGTATGGTTCTTCCATTTGGAAATTATATGGGTTTGAATGGTGAAGTTGCTTGAAAGAATAAGTGATGCGTTTTGGGGAAATGGCTCAAGGCACTGTGATCAGGATGATAGGTGCCACAACTCGACTTCATGCATTCCATTGCCCCCTGGTCGCAAGTTAACATTTAAAAAAGAATTAAGTTAGCGATGTATTTTCAGAGATGCCTCATCTTATGCTTCATTCTTAAATTCAGTTACTAGGAGATGCCTCATCTTTTGCTTCATTCACTTCTTGCTGGTTCCACTCGATGTGTTGCCATAGAACCTACGATCACTTCTTCATCGCAAAAAGGATTCCACTGTGTATCTCGCCATACAGATAGATGAAAATAACAAGAAAGTAGTAAGGGTGGGTTTTTGTGCTGTGGTATCAGCACATCTTGTGCCGTCCATTCGGCACAAGTGGCTACGATCGCATATTTCCTAGTTAATAATAGACAGAATGGATTCGAAATAATAAAATTGCCTTATTGGGTAGTATTAAGTTTTATTGACTCTTAGGTTTGTGTTTTTTCCCCCCTTTCTTTCTTTTTTCTTTTTAAATATATTTCTAAAAGAATTGTTTGTGGTCTTTTTTGGAGAAAAAAGAAGAAAGTTTTTGGATGATGTCATTGCTTATCTGGCCGCTCTTCTTTTCACATTCCCTGAAATGACTTACTTTTTGAAATCTGGGCTTCCAGCTATTCTGGAACATAGTTGCTTGCTTGAAACTTTGCTAATTATTTTATGTGTCTCCAGGGATACTAGGTTGCCTTTTATTTTGTTGTCTTATTTTTTTATACTCTTTGTTCTTCTTGGCCTATTCTTTTGATATCATTTATGCTTATGGTCATTTTACCGACTTCTATTACTTATAGAGCTACCATGCAGAGTTTGTGGCAGAAAAGTCAGAAATAGTGGTTTCTGGAAACTGAAATGGCAAATTCACCAGAAGATGAGATAGATGATGAACTATTCAAGGAAGTTTATGGCAAGGAATATACTGGCCCACCAGGATCAAATGCCAGAAATATGCAGGAGAATGCTAAATCAAACAAAAGGCCACAAGCCGCTGTAAATGAGGTTGCTGATTCTGATGAGGAAATGGAGCCTCGTGACCCAAATGCTGTTCCAACCGATTTTACTAGCAGAGAAGCCAAGGCATGGGAAGCTAAAGCTAAGGCCACAGAAAGAAACTGGAAAAAGAGGAAGGAAGAAGAAATGATCTGTAAAATATGTGGGGAATCAGGTCATTTTACTCAGGTACGACAAATTATGTATTTCATAGGTGGCTGGTTGTACAAATCAATTATTGATATTGTTTTGAAATTAAGTCTTCTATACATGTTACCCTGCACTATTGGCAGTTTTAATGACACTCATTTTGGATCGAAGTAGTGAGTGGTAATGTTATCAACAATTTGTATCATAGGTGATTCTCCTCAGGGCTTCGTTCAACATCTTATTCACTTTCAGGATGGCTCTGAATTTTGATTGGTTAGATGCCTCGTTTCAGTTTTTATTTCATCTGCCATTGGCAAATACTCTTGTTTGTGATTTTAGAAACCTAAACCTTCTCACTAGTGGAATATTATTGCCGGTTTAACTTTTCATATATGAGATACAATTTATAGGTTTCTCTCTTCAATTTAGGCAAAGATGTACAATTTTCACAGTAGATGAGCAGGCATACATCCATGCAGACATGGTAGAGGAGTAGAAAGTGAGTGTGATGACACACTGTAGCATTTACTTCTTAACACCATATAATTTTACTGGCCTCATTGCATATGTTTGTGCCTCTGTGTTTGTTTTATGTTGCTAGCATTTGGATATTGGGGATTCTCCCAGTCGACTTGTTCAATTTTGTGATCTCCTTTTGGACTTTCCTTTTCACAGGATGTGCTACTGGTTTTGCATCTATTTACTGTCTCATGCTATTTTTGAATGGTTTTGCTTGCACAGGGATGCCCATCTACTTTAGGATCCAACCGCAAGTCTCAAGAGTTTGTTGAAAGAGTCTTCATTCGAGATAAACATGTGAAGGGTTATTTCTCTGAAAAGGTTGTTCGTAATATTGAGAAGGATATTGGATGCAAAGTTAAAGTAGAGGAAAGATTTATAGTTGTCAGTGGCAAGGATAGGTTATGCTTGGCAAAAGGTGTGGATGCTGTAAAAAAGGCAATGAAAGAGGATGACAAGGGCAAAAATAGAGGCCCATCGAGTTCTCACAGGACCAGGTCAAGATCTCCTGGTGCAAGTCCAGTCGGATCTCAGGTGAAACGTTCAGTAACCCCAAGGTCACATTCTAGTCCAAGAAATTTGTCCCAGATCCAGCAGAAAAATTTCAGTCAAGAAAAGGTTGTAGAAGATCACCTGCGACAAGATATAAAACAGTTGTCAAGGGGTTCTCCACAAGGTAGGGATAGCCTTGATATGTTTTACATTCATACAAAGCTGGTTTGCCCATGCTTGGAGCTTGTAGAAAATTTATAAGCTTTGTCCCTTGGAGATCTAACTTTGGGTGGGTGTTTGATGAAATCACCTATTGCTGACAGTTTTGTTTTGCAGCAAGAGGTAAGTTCAAGATTTACGTGTTCGAATGTGAAGTATTTTACAGCATGGTTGTGAATCAGTTCGATTGTCATCAATGCAAAATTATATATTGAAAGCTTCCGGACTTGTATGTGTTGGATGGGTTCCTCATTTCAGTAGTATTTGTGCTTCCTTGCTGGTTTGAACGTACGTTAGGCTTTAGTAAAAGAACTCTATCTTCTATATTAGACATCCGGTTATGAAGTGGGGTTTCTCTTAACACAATCTTCATTTCGTGAAGCTTATGGATATGGTAATGATGGGGCCAAAGGTCGTTCAGGATCTCCACAGCGTGCAAGCTATGCTAGCCATGGATTTAATCCCTATGATGCTCATTCTCAGAGTATGGCTGTGCATAAGAGTGACAGTTGGAATGTTGAGGGCCGTGGGCCAGAGATTGATTCCAGTCGCAAGTTTGAGTTTCGAGGTTATCCTCAAGCATTGGAAGAACTAGAGTTGGAATTTAGGAGGGAGATTACAGAGTTAGCAAGAACCCGTGATAAGGAAGAAGATGAAGAGAATAGCAAGCATCGTGAGGTATAACTTTACCCCATCTATGTTCTATATGGTTGTTCTTTTACAAATAATACCATTAAGTTTTAATATATAAGGGATGTTAATGAGTACACATCTGTGGACTTTGCCAATGAGTGCACATTTGCAGACGTTCCATTCAGGGCTCATGCTTAAATACCTACTGTTAATCATTTACGTGCAATCATGTCGTGCAAAGTATCATTCTCTATTAAAAAACATCAGTGAAATGAAAATCATGAAGCGCAAAGTGTCATTTTCGATTTAAAAAAATATCAGTGAACTTCTAAGATTTCTTATTGGGTTTTCAATGTTCTTCTAATAATTTGTTCTATGGTTTATGAGTACAGCACTTTTGGATATTTAGATAAATATTTCTGTGCCCCTCCATCTTGTATTTTTCTTTAAATTATTATAATTTTTATTATCCATGAAGAATTGAATAATTGGATTTATCATTACTTTCTCAAACGAAACTTTGCAAATAGTTTTGTAGGTCAGATTTTTTAGGGGAATTTTGAGTTGTAACTCACTTATGTGAAAAGCTTTGCAACTTGACACTATTGTTGCGTTTCTTTAAAAAGCTAAAATAAAATTGTCATTTTGTGCCACAAGGAGTAATAAATTACGTTGCAGATATAGTGTGAATGTGTACAGTATTCATGTTGGATATTTGGAATCATACATTGTCATGCTTCTTGTGGGAGTTGGGTCATCTGGTCTGTGTAAACATATGCCATGTCTACAGGCATACCCCAACATCATGAGTTACACATAATGCTAAAGGATGCACCAATGGGTGCGATGTCATGCAGGTTGCTAAGGGGCATCTTGTGGTGTCTAGGCAACAAATTCTGTTGTGTATCAGTGCTCAAGGCATCGTGTTACTTGAGGCACACTCCCTAGCACAGATATAAAAAATGGCCCGCCCAGCACCTAGGTGAGCATCTAGGCACCCAAGGGGCATTAGGCTGTCTCACCTCGGCTTGGGCGGGTACCTCCGGGTGGGCACCTGAAACTGGGTGTTTTTTAGAGGGAAAAAGTTGCCCGCGAAGGCATTTCTCTTCATTTTTGACCCATGAAAAGGGGAAAAGGGTTAGGGGTAGAGTAGGCCCCTAAAGGGGAAGAAGTTGATTGTTTTGCAAAGTAATTTGAATTGAGGAAGGGTTCTTTGTGTATGATGATTATATGAGCTGTCAACTACGAAGTATGGAGTATGCTGCTATGGAATATGGAACGTTCACTGCAGGATTATGTTTTTCACTATTTCAGTTATTTAAGGAACATAATTTTCAATAATTTGAATTTTTAAAGGCGTTTCAACATTCATACGGATATATTACCTAACTTTAATACATATAAATGCAAAAACATACAAAACTGGCACAACTATCTGCATATATGTGCGTTTGGACAACACATACATGTGTACTTTTCAAAAGTTCTCACCTCAAGGAGTTTGAGGTTCCGGGCCCTCTCCTAGACAATGGGCCCCCTAGGTCAGGGTGCGCGCCTAGGGGCCACCTAGTGTTTTTTAAAACCTTACTCCTTAGGATTCTTAATGGATGTGTTGTATTTGGGTCTACTGGTTTCCTTTTCATTTTTAAAAGTCAGACTCTTTTCAATCTTGCGATCATAAATTTGTCAATTTATTTTGGTTATATGTTTCCGGATTCATGAAAAGTTTTGGCAAAGTTTTATGTTGGCTGCCTTCCTAACCCTATCCACCTCCTTTTACCTGGGCTTGGGATGGGTTAAGGGAAAGTTTGAGGTCCTCACCCGTCTTAGACCAATTGGGTCATTTGGTTATATGATTCTTTGTTGTGCAAAAAGATAAAATAGTTTGGTTTAATATATTTCCGTTATGTGATTTTGTGCCGTGTGAAAAAATAAAATATTTTGGTTATTTGATTTGGCAGGATATCAACTAACCAAAATTTGAAATGATGGATGGTAAATGAAGAGAGGACCACCAGTCCATAGCATGACCCATGGTGGGGCCCACTCTCTCTTTAGCACTCATGAACTGCACTATGGTCTCCATAGTCCTTTGGGTTACATTATACTTTCCATTTGGACGATGACATCGAAGGAATGAGCTTGTTTCTGGGTAGGCTACCACTGTTCTTGCATCCATCCTGCCTTCCCTTACAATCCTAACCACATTCAGCTTTCAAGTCTTCCATCAGATCAAACCTTACTTATGAAACTTGACTGAGCCCCAACATAATCCCACCATCTCAGTCTTCTTTAATCTCTCTTCCTCAAATATATAAATATAAGGACCATTGAGAACCCTTAATTACCTGGACCATGGCTTGATGTGGACCTCTTCATTTCAACATATAGGGATGGAGTTTTAAAGATACTAGATTCTCTGGCTATTTGTCAATCCTTTTTCTATAAGTTTGACCTTGTCAACCGGCTCATTCCAATTAGGACCTCATTGTCTTTTATGTCAATATCTCATTCTTCTTACTTTTTTTGGTTTACTGTTTATTTCATATTCGAAAATAAACATGGGGTTGACAAGGAACAGTTTTTATTATATTGGTACTTGCAGTCCTTTTTTTGAAGATAGAGGTACTTGTGATCCATGCCTCAGAAACATGGCCCTTTATAAGTGGAGCTCTTAACTGCATGATCTGGACCCTCTAATTATATGCTACCTTTGTAATTTCCTTTTCATAAGAATCACTAGCTTATCCATTACCTAGTAAGGGCTGGGGTTATTTAGTTTTTTTATTTTTTGGTCTCTGTTTTTAAGCCACATTAGGAATTATATCTACTCATCGAGAAAATAATATCGTGTTAGTAAAAGTTTGGAATCACTTACTTGGATTTCTGACTCCAAGTCCTCTTGTGAGAATGCAGTCCATCAATGAACTGAGAGATACTTACATGAAGAAAATCTCCATGCTAAGGGCATCCCATGCTAAACAATGGGAAGAGTTCTTGCAGAAAGATGCACAAATGCGACAGAGATCACGCCAGCATATGTCTTCGGTCTCGAGCTACAATAACTATCCTCTCCCAGGAGGAGGAGGCTTCTCAGATTATGATCGCACCGTTGCTGATAACCCTCACTTTGCTGCTAATGCCCCTCTGGATGCAAGGAGCAGATATCATATGCCAGTTGACGGTTACCAAAACCCTAGACCTGTCAGTGGATATGGCGATTATCCTCGTCAAAGGCAGGAAGACTATGGGAAGCCATACCACAGATATTGAAACCTTTAAAAACCTCAGCTATACTCTCTTGGTGAGTTTGTCTGTAGCCCTACTAGTTTGAATGTTTGATTTATGAACCTAGAGCTTTTTTCTGGATATTTTTCGTTTCTTGCAGTCACATGTCATGAAAGGTTGCATGATATCCTTTGTAATGCTGATTGTATTGGTTTTTACAAGCGTTTTGACTGGTGTTTATACCAAGCTCTAGCATTCATTGTTATTTGTGGCATGCTTTCTACGATCCTTTTTTTTTTTTTAAATTTGCCTTAATTGTGATGGCTATACCTAAAGAAAGGCGGATTTTGTTTCACGCTTTCACCCTTCTAATTATATTCACGGTTTCTGTTTTGATTTGATCCCCATCTCATTCTTCTAAACACTATAACCATGATTAGAAGTGTCATGGTTATCTAAGGTGCATAGAGGAACTGCAATTTCTAGGTCTTTAACATCTGACAGGAGTTGTGTGGATGTATATAAATTGGCTCTGCTAATTGAGTTTTGCCTTGTGTCATTTCATCGTGTTGTGTACTTTTTTGTTGGTTATTCATTTGTAGATTTATGTCTGAACTATGAGATGGATTCTTGCTGCTATTTGAATTTCTTTCAGACTGAAATGTGCAGTTACTAAGAACCACCAAGTCTTGAACTTGGGAACGCTCTGGTAGTCATTTATTGAATCTTTTCTTCCAAAAAATATGATACCACCGATTATTGGAAGCTCATTATTATTATTATTATTATTTTTAGGATTTTTGTCTGTTTGATCCGTTTTTGGGATTTTAAAATGTTCTAAAAATTTCAGGCACCAAATCCCGGGGATCCCAGGTATCTTAGACAGAATTGTGGCTGGTAAGTTGAGTCTTTAGAACCTTATTTTCTCTTTTTTGTTGTTGACATATTACTTCAGTGGAATCCAGACTCGTTGCTTAACAAAGTGGGACTACTGAGAAATCTGGTGTGATAACCATCTCTGTTCTTTTACAAACTTGTGGACTATTATTGTTTTTGGGATCCATTGGAGTGGTGAAGTGGTGAGATGAGCTCTGTGGTGGTCCCGCTTATCTGCTAGGGCATGTTCCCGATGATGGACATTCCCTTGGTTTGTTAAGTAGTTGATGCTCTATTAAGGTGTTAGCAGTTACTTCATTTTAATTGTAGGAAAAAGTTTGATATCACTGTATGATCCATAGGGTCATACAAATGACCCTATAGTTCGTCACTTTTCAAGTTTGCCCTGTTCAATCAATAGGTTGGATGGTGATGGGAACAATATGGGTGGACCATACAAGTTTTGACATGTGGGACCCACTCCCCTCTATGAATGTCTATGCGTCCAACCCAATTATGGATGCTGATAAGATATTATATGATTTTGTAAAATGATATTTGCTTTATATTTTCTCCCATATATTTTTTTCATTTTTAAAGAAATTATTATACATATGTATTTAAATTTATTGAGTGTAAAATGATATTTGCTTTAATATTTTCTCCCATATATTTTTTTCATTTTTAAAGAAAATATTTATACATGGAGATGTATTTAAATTTATTGAGACAATATAGGTAATACCTTTTTCAAAAATTAAATTATGGAAGCATGAGAAAGGTTGAATTTATTGTATATAAAACCCGGAAAAAAGAAGGTATGAAAAGAATTAGTTATTTGTTTTGAATATTTTGGGCTTTTTACAATTTCGTAACTCTTTTCCGTTACATACCCTTTTAGAATCAAATGAGAATGGCCAAAATTTAGGAAAATCAGCCCGTTTAAATTCGCCTGAGAGACTGATACAACTAAATAGACGTATTTGAAATATTCTTAATTCCATAGAGGTAGTCAATGATAAAATAAAAAGAATAAATCCCATACTGGCATTCCAGATTAAAATAAAAAGGTAGATTGTGGCATTCCCCATTTTAAGTGGAGAGGAAAACATAACGGAGCGTATGATGCCTTTCATTTATAACCCGGCTGAGTTTCTTCCCTCATTTGTATTTTGGTATGTCATGTCTTATAGCTGATGACTTTGTGCAAGTATCTGTTGTTGGCTTGTTGCTTCATATCATTGTGTAAGCAGCTCTCTTGAGTATGAATTTCTCTACTCATGCACACCATTCACTATCATTTTTTCATATAATACATCGATATATCGTAGAATTTACATTGTCTTAGAATTTACATTTTCAATGTGTTGTTTTAGGTGTAGATTCTCTTCAGCTGATTTTAGTGGCGCATAATTTGATATAGTGCCTTTTTTATTTGTGAAATTTTTTATTTAATATAGGGTTGCGTTATGTTTTGTAATGATTATCTCAATAAGGCTCGTGATCTTTCATGGTTTTCACTTTCCATCTAGATCAAGGTGTTGTTTTGGTTGCAGTGGTGTTGGTTGCAGTGTCTCTTATATGGAAAAAGTTTATACAAGGGCCAGGCTCTAAAAATTCAAATTAAGGTGCATCTCAAAAATTCACTAGAAGAGGTTGTTTTGAATTTACAAGGCCCAAAAATCCTCAAATTGATCATCTCAACTTTATGTACATGAAAAAAAAAAGATTTCAAGTCTTGGAAATGGTGCATATTGTAATGCATTTTTGGACCATCAATTTTCAAGATTTTCAAGTGTTTATAGATCTTTTTGATCGACATTATTTTTAAAGCTTTAAATTTTATAATTAGAGATGAAAATAAATTTTCAGGTCATCACAAAGATATCCAATATTGAAACAACATTTTTCGATACTATTTAAAGGTGTGCCTATTTAAAGGTGTGCCTTACTTTGATGGTTTAGAGCCTCGGCCTCGTACAAGCCACACCCTTCTTATATTATATGCGGAAGATATGATCTTATGAACATAGAATAACTCTCGTCACTAGTGTTATTATGGTCCAATCAAGGGATGGTCATGATGGAGAGAGTGGGACTTGCCCTTGGTTATATTTTACGCTGGTGGATCCAGCAATTGCCATTGTCCATCCATAGGTTGGTTTTGGTGGCACTTGTCAATAGTAGAATTTCTATATTTCTTGGATCATGGTATATCAGCGGCATTGTAGACGAACAACTTTTTGCACATCCATCGTCTCGGACCTCCATGAACATGGATCTTAAAGAAAAAAAACAAAAAAGAAAACAAAATGGATTTGGAGTCGTAAAAAATGGTCCATATTATGCCATTTTATCTGGGCCATTTTCTCAATTCTTGGTAGATAGTCGGGTCTGGGCTATTTATAGAGCTTCAAATCCATATCAGGAGCGGAAATGGATTTGCAGTGTTTCAAATTGTTTTTTGGCCCTTGGAAAACTGCGTTTGGACTTGTTTTTCTTTTGCTTCTTTTTCGGTCGGTGGTTTTGGGTGGCGGTGGTGGGGGCGCTTTCTTAGTAACCCCTTGTCACCGAGGGCAGAGCTAGCCATTTGATCATTCCCATGGTTTTGTTGTGACTAGAGCAAGTTTGTTTCTAAGGTCTCAAGTGATCAAAATCTATCTGCAAGGTCTCATGGTAAATATATTCATTCTATTGGCAGCCAGAATGTCAGCAGAAAGTGTATCTTGAAAAGACAAATTCTTCGTTATTCTTTTTTTTTTCCTTCTGGGACGGGAATCATTAAGGTCTAAATAAATTGGACTTATTATGTTTATGAATATTGAACTTATAGAAAAATATGCGTCTATGAAAATGTCAACTGAAACTATAGAAACAAATTTATCCCTTTTTTTTTTTATTTTAAATTTTCTTTTGGGATTAAAATTTCCGTGCTATTTTTTTTTGAAATTTCCCCACTATTGATCTTATGCTTTTTTGTTTTTCTTGTTTCTATACCTCTTGTTTGTGCGTTTTGCTAATCTTTTATATTTTATGAATCATCATCATTTCTTTATTCTAATTATTTGGGGCCAGTTACTTTTATGTTGATGAATTATAACATTTGATACCTCTTGTTTGTGTTTGTCTTTGATATTTTATGAATCATCATCATCATTCAAGTTTTATCTCAATTATTTAATCATCATTCAAGTTTTATCTCAATTATTTAGGGTTAGCTACTTTTATGTTCATGAATTAATGTGTTGTATTTTTTTAAAAACAAAAAAAAGCTTGGAATCTAGAATTTCACCCAAGTAAAATATTTGTTTCTTTTATGCTCATGAGTGAATGCGTTGTATTTCTTTAAAAACCAAAAAAGCTTGGAATCTAGAATTTCACCTAAGTAAACTTTTTGTTTGTACGTCTTCCTAGTGCCCAAAATTTTCATAATGTCTAATCGTTACAATAAAAAAAGTCCAGGATTTTATGTTTTTTTGTTCACCTCTGTGAGGGAAAAATATCAGTGAGCTAACCAAAGGTTATTGGGGTCACTTATTTACTGTTTAATATTATCCTGGCGCCTAGAAATGACAGCGTAAGATGTACAGCATTTAGCAAACTTTCTAATACCGATTAAAAATTGGCCGTTGGAAATGATGCCTCCTGTTATAACTTGAAAAAAACTTAAAATGGGCTTTTCTTCCTTTCATATACGGAATCTATGCTCCAAAAGTTTATTTTATCATTGAGCAGTTGAAACTATGCGGCCATGTTTGACAAGATGGATGCTCAACAAAACCACGATACATAAGGAATAGGAGGTTTCTTGGGTAGCTCAATAGGATGGGTTTTACTCATGGTAGGAATAAAACTAAAAAATAAAACTCAAGAAGTTATATTGTGGTGACCCTCCACTTTGATCACCTAGTTTGTGCAGGTTTTTATAAGAGAAGTGAAGATGACGGGCAGCAATGTAGAGTAAATAAATAGTTCTGGTAATTTGGGTGTTTTGCTGAGCAAGCAACTACTTTATTAGGGTCCTTTTGATAAAACAAAAATTTCATTGTATAGGATTTGTGAAATCGGATAACAGTATTGCAGGCTTTTAATGCATCAGGATCACTTATTATCTGTTATGCGTTTTTTTGGTCTTTGTTTGGATTTCAGATTTTTATAGGTTTAGTTGTGAAAAGCATGATTTATTGATTAATTTGTAATTAGTTTGTACTTTATCTAACCATTAAACGTTAGGCACCATATATAAAAAACAGACTAGGCACCATATATAAAAAACAGACGGAAATGGATAGTTTTTAAGGGTGGCGAGGGCTGGCCCAGGCCTTGTTCCAATAGGGTTGGCCCTGTTAGGGTCGGGCTGCGACAGGAACAAATGAAGAAAAATTTTATTTGGAAAAAGAAAAAAAAAGGGCATGGTCCTTGGCCGAACCAGGCTGGCATTGGCCCTAGCCCGCTCCATGGTCCACAATTTGTGGCCCAGCCTTGCTTTTTGAGGACTGTGATGAGCGGGCCAGCCGAGTAGTTGATAGTCATTCTATTTGTTACGAATGTTAAAAGTAACTACAATTTAAATAGCATATCCAAAGGTAGGGCTAGACTGTTCATATAAATGGATCTCATATTGTTTGATCCTAACATTCATATAAGTATTTTTCCCCAACTAATACACGCAAACGTTGCCCATCTTAGAACTGTAACCAAAAAAAATAAAAAAGGAGAGTCAAACTGCGATTATTTTAGCATTTGATCTATTCAACTTAAAGTCAATGGAGAATCATCGTTATTTTCATCTGAGAATCTTAATTATTTGGAATTGGTCATTCAGCTCTATCAAAACTCATATTTTCATACAGACTGTAAGCCACTATATCTCTTCTCATTGTTTCTATCTTTTTTTTTTTTGATCTTTTTCTTGCCCTTTTAAAGTCTTTCACTTGAACTAAATTGCGCCTTTTAAGTAGTTCTATTTTAGGTCGACATTGCACATGGCCAGACTATGTAAGTCTACTTTCTTTTATCGCTTCTTGGAGTCACCCCTAAATTCTTTTAGATGTATTTATGAATCCTATCATTTATTGTCTTGCCACTCATCCGTGTTATGGAATAGATGTGGCAAAAGTTTTATGCGGGCTCCCCTTTCATTAATGGAAACATTAAAGTTCATTTCATTGATACATGTTGGCCGAGACTGAAGGAAGCATGTCAAACAGAAGTACATCAGGTTTCAACAACCAAAAATAGTATATGAATATCAAGAAAACTCCAAACTGGGAGCCAAACGTGATGTAGTTCTCAAAGGTGAAAGGTGATAAACGCTACCCTTC